AAGACAAGTAAGGAGGAAAGAGGATGCAGAGAGTGGATGGATAGAGAAACCATGACAAGAAGACCAATTATGGTAGACATACCACTTATGTTGGTAAACTGCCATGGATGAAGGACACACTGAATGGGAAATTTGGGAAGCAACCCGAGGGGATAGTCCATCTCATCTGGCAAGGTATTGGACAAAAGACACGAGTGAAGACAAAGCATAGAAAGAGTAGGATGTAACATGCCAGAATGTGGTTGTTTGAGAAGGATGGGTGAGAGAGGAAAATGAAGAAGGTGTTTCAGTAGGAGCAGGTGCAGAAGTGGAAATCACGGCTGTGTCAGCAGGCAAAGTGAAGCTACCAAGACGACCCAACTAGGAGTGGCTTGTATGATGGCAAGGACACAAGGAAGAAGACGAATGGGAGGATATGCATAAAGGTAATGGTCTCCCAATCCTGATTGAGGATATAAAGAACTACAACCAAAGGATGAGGAATAGTAGACCAAAACCTGGGAAGATTACAATTCAGATGGGTAGCAAATGCAACCAGTTCTGGAGTACTCCATTATGAACACAGCGAAGTGAACACCTGAGGGTCAAGGGACCATTCTGTGGTGAGAACCTTGTAAAGACATGATAAATGATCCATGGCCAGAGTCAGAGATCCTAGTATATGATGTGCAATCAAACGATTGTGTTGTCTGTGGGCCCAAAACAGGAGGTCCAACACATAAAAGCAAAGAGAACTCGACTGAGTGTCCCCTTGCTGAGTGTTGTACAAGAGGATTATCAGAATGGATCATTACCGACCGGTTCCAGAGAGACAGAAGGCAATGAATCAATATTCAACAAACTGTGAGCAAACTTAAGAGACTGATATGCAGAGATGACTCTGCTGCAGACCAACATCCCAAAATCTCATGCATGTCCAGATACACACTTCAACCCAAAAAAGATGCAGCTGTGAAGAGGTGCACCTCTGGATGAGAAAAAGGAAGAGGAACACCCACTGTCTAAGTTCAATCACCAGGTGAAGTACATATGCAGGGGAGAAGGGAGATGAATAATGGTGTCTAAGAGATCCCAAATGAAATTTCATTAATCTTGTAAAGCCTACTGAAAAGGCTGCATGTGGGCTCGACCGAGGGGGAATGAGAGTCTCCAAAGAAGACCACATCTCCAAAAGAGATAGAACCTCTCACACAGTTCAAGAACGAGAGGAGGAAACAGTCCAAACCAGAAGCTCTATAAATCGCTGGCAAGTGGGAGAAGGTTGAGCCTGGCTGAGATGAATAAGGTATTGAGTGTGGTAGAGGAAGGACTTCTACCCATGTAGCTTCTTTAAGAAGATACTGAGTCTGAAGGGAAGAGATGGCATGCAAAGTAGCTACAAGCAGCCAGTCATCCATGTAATGGTGGAAACAAAGGCCCCTGGAATGGAGAAGATGGGCAAAGGCCTTTACCACCCAACAAAAAATGGAAGAGCCTGAAACTGGTAGACACAACCACAATGGAAAAAATTAGGAAAATACCAGGATGCTGGGAAGATGGAAATGTGGATATAAGCATCTGAGACACCTTTGTCAACCACAGACCAGGAGTGAAAACCCATCAAAGAGATGTGTATGACTCCATGGTAAATTGAGGAAGGTCAAGGAAGAAAGACTGATGATGGGGTGCCAATCCCAGGTCTTCTTGTGGACCACAAACAAATGGGAATAGAAACCTGGCTGTGAAGAATACACCTGTTCCACAGCACCCTAGTGAAGAAGGTTGAGAACCACCTCAGATAGACACTGGCTGGAAATGGGACCCCGAGGAGGAGAGGAAAGGAAATGGGAGGAGGGAACAGGAAAGAAAAATAAAAAAAGAACCCTTCGGTGAGAACTTGCAGAACCCAAGTCTGTAGTGAAAGACTCCCACACGATGGCAAAATGCAAAAGCTTGGACCCCACCAGACTTGTACCTACCATGTTGTCACTGGAACTGCCAAGGGTGATGAAATCATCAATGAAAAAACCAATGGTTGACCTCAGATACCCAAGAAGCAGGAATCTGTAAAGGAAAGGAAGGAAGGGGACTATAAACAGGATCAGGAGAAGGATGAAACAAACAGGAAGCCAATGAGGACAGAGAGGAGTGCAAACAGGCAGACTTGAGTCTGGATTCTAGTGAGTCAGGAAGGCTCCCAAATACATTTTTCCTTAAAAAGGGAGCCATATGCAAGTCCTGTAGGAAGGTTGGGGGCAAACAGACAAAGAACAAAAGGGCATCCTGACCCAAAAGATCCCCAAAACAGAGAAGTCATGTTTGGTGGGAAAGGGTGGAAGAGAACAATCCTGCCAGATTGGAAAATATCAGAGCATCACAAACTCCTCAGGAAAAAGATGAAGAGCCTCAGACAAAAGGTGAATGGAGGAAAGGGAAGGAAGGAGAGAAGACAAAGTCAAGCAGATACAGGAAAATTGAGGTTGGGAAAATGTGACCGAAGTATTGGAATCTGAGCCCCACAGTGGCAGAAGAGTATCCAACTGATGCGAGTCCAAAAAAAAAAACCTCAGACTGATGGTAAGCCAGAGCATGGGCTTCCATATTACATGGGGGTCAAGGCATACTGCCCTCAGAACGTAATTGGTCTGCAAACCTAATGGCATGAACCCTAATATGTAATGCTGGGAATAAGATATTGGGCTGAAGGTGTCTCACTTAAAATGGAAGGAGAGGAATCAATGGAAATGAGAAACAAGGATAAAACGTAACAAACTTGCATGATCTAATTCCAGGAAAGGAAGAAGAGGCCTGGGCACATCCACTGGAGTTAAACGTGACTGTGTGGCATAAAATGGGGGAGATAACAGGTTGTCGATATCATCATCCTTTTGTTTAGGTACTCCTGAACAAGGCATGAAAGGTCAGTCTTCAGACAAATCTGAAGCCAACTCCTTGCAACTCAAAGCCATAACATCTTCTGCCAATAAATGGGGACCGGAAGCCTTTATAAATGAAGTAAGAGAACCAGCAGTAATAACAATAAACTCTGAATTCATGATAACTATGAGTTGAAATTTTAAAAAAAATCCACACAGGAAGCTAAAAAAATTTATTAAAGACACGTAATATTAACGTGTATAAAGAAAAGTTGGAGAAATGAAGTGTAACAAACTAAAAAAAAAAAAAGTTATCCAAAAAACAAGTAACTGATGAAAATTCTGTGGTTAGTACTGAAGCGAAAAGCACGTCTAAATACCACGAGTGCCAAATGAGAAGTGAAGTTGAGCTAAGCTGCACAGAGGGAGTCAGCTTTTGTTGATAAACACAACTTTTTCTGTTTAAGTATAGCACAAGTGTTAAATTTAGTTCTTTTTTGAAGTGATAGTTTATTGCAGGTTTGTTTACATAACTGTGTGAAACATTTGTTATTTTTTAATCAAATGTTGTGAATTTACGCTTGTTGTATTATTGCATCATGGTACTACAACCATCTAAGTTTTCTTGATTATTATTACATCATAATATCTAATAATGTGTGGAAAATTGTAGGCTTAGGTTGGGCTATCTATAAATATGCATACAAAATGTAGTTAAGAGTAGTTAGGAAAAAGTTAGATAAAGTGAAAGCAAGTTAAGTTAGATAGATATAGACAGTGTGTTTGTAAGTTTAGCTGTAAAGAGAGTATATTGGCATTTTTTTAAGTGAAATTATTACAGATTGTAACAATAGAATGTAGAATAATAATTTGTCTTGTCAATTGTGTTCTAAAGTAGCTTAACAAACCTATGTGGACTTTTGATGAAAAGAGAATTATTTAAAGCTCTGGATACAACTGTGATAAAAAACAGTGTAACGTAAGTGAACTTATCACCGATTATATCGTAATAACATAGCAGAAAAGAATAATTCATCTTGTCAATTGTGTTCCAAAGTAACTGAACCAGACTGTGTGGACTTTGATGAAAAAAAATGATTACTTAAAGCTCTGGATATAACTGTGTAACAAATATTTGTATATATGTTTGACTTGTTTTAATATATTATTTTAAAACAAGTGGATTGTGTGTCATTTGTTTATCATTGAAATTTATTGCCAACAAGTCACAGACACCTACTGTCAAAAATCCTGCCCATCCATATATATATAAACCTGAGAGCAGTGCTAGGTGTTGCATCACAATCCTATTGGTGGAGGGTTGTCACATGCTATCATGCAGCTGCCTCATGTGAGGGTAGGTGGGAGTATCAAGGCTAGTGGCAAGGAAAATTTGGGCTTTTAGGGCCAGTAGGCAGTACAAGTGGAGAAAAGCTGTTATGTGAAAGGGGGTAAGATGTCATTTCAAAAATTACATGTTAACTATTTACTGTCTTCACTTTAAACATACCAAATTATTACCTGGGATTCCATTCCCATTTCTAGCATTTGTTCAGCATCCTGCTCAACTTTCTTTCTTGCATCATGTATAACTTTCTGGTCCTTTTTGATAAGTTCAAGATCAGACAAATCAACACCTTCAGTTAAATACACTGTAAAATAAAACATTAACAGATCTGATTAATTGTATTTTGTGAACACCAAGCACAGTTCTGAAACACAGAATATTGCACATATACTAAATTATTAAACTTACACTTGTAATTATTTTTCATTTAGTTACAGAAGAGCTGTGGTCATGACACAGAAATCTACTGTTATCACTATTTTAGTTAAACAATCAATATCTACTGTTTAGAGAGTTTTTTTTAACCCTCTGATTATGAACATGGGTACATTTCGTACATGGGTGAACTTGTACTGTTTTCACTAACTTCAGTATATTTTGGCACAGGGTTTATATTAATTAAAAATTAATCATTAATTTTATTTTCATACATAATAAATATGTTATTTAAGATATTCAAAAGGTAGATATAAATCATGTTGGCCTTATAAATCTGTTAAATATCCTGGTAACAAACTGTAGGAAAAGCTCACACAGAAAATTATAAAGCAACCAATTGATTTAGTTTCTATAGTACTTTGTTTAACTTCCTTTACAGTGTTGTAATATTTCTTAATGAATTATGCTTGCACCTTTTTTCTGAAACTTCTCATTAAGTATTTCACAATCATACCTAATTCTCATTATACTAAAAGAACACAAATGATTCTCCAAGCAATAAAAACAAATATGAGAATCCTTTTATACAATACATATATTCAGTATTTTACTATGTTATCAATTATTAATTCTTGTCACTTGTCTGACCTAACTCATTTAAACTTTGGGCAGCTTTTGTGATCTCCCGTAATCCTCCTTGAATCTGATTCTGGAGTCGAAGGGTCAGTTTGAAAACACTGCTAATTCGGCGAAGAAGATCACAAGTCTCCTGCAGCCTCATCAGCATCATTGTCTGATTTACAGCTTTTCTGTAAGGCTCAGCAATCCTACCTTTCAACCTTATGGGGGCAAAAAAGTGCCATGACTACATTACAAAAAAGAATTAATATGTATACAAATGTCACAATTAAAGCAATTTTAATTCAAAATCAGTGAGAATTTTCATGTAAAATAACTTCCTTGAACATAATATGCAGATTTTTAATTTTTGTTTTATCAGCTTGTTTCTGTGGTCTTATTATTTTGGATCTATAACCATGTAACTCAACCTAATAGTTTGGAATGTTTTTAGTAGTTAATAACATCTTGTATTTATTCCTCAATAACTTCGAAACCTATATTTCTATTAAAACAATTAATGGTATCATAATGACATTTATGTACCAAATCTTTTGATGCCTTTGATAGTTTAAGGATAAACATGAATAAATTTACAATTTAATAATACACTTTTAATTATATATATCATTAAACATTTTTACCCTCTCCAGACAGGTCATAGATCAAAGACCATGTCATCTCGTTTGTTGACTTGCATTCAAAATGTTATTGAACTACTATTTCATGAATTTATGTCAATAAGTTTAATATCAAACTGTAGATTATAATTAAAATTTTGATCTTATAAATTATTTAATTTAAAAGTAAATATTCAAAAAACACAGTTAAACATCAATTTTTGTGTGTCACATGGTATGTTGAATGCAGCACTGGTTCAAATTAGATTTTTGTGAAGTCAAAATACCAAGTCTATAGTTTCATACGAATTACAAACTCAAGTTACAGATATTGACAAGCTAGAATATAAAATAAGAACATCCTATCTTTTCTCATTGCTGATATATCACTCATGTAATGAATCAAATACAGTGGCCCCACTCACCTCTTTCCATTTTTGGAAATGGTCCCTTATATACACTTATATGACATAAAACACTTGTTTATTTATGCCTACTTCTGTCTATGACATGTGACTAACCAATCAAAAGCTCAGAATGTTCCCCTAGTGGCTTTCTCAGCCATTTTCATGTGTTAGGATGCCATCTCTTTCTTGAGTCACAAAACAAAGAATCAAAACATTTCAGGCGGGGGGGCAAAAAAAAGTGTCTTTGGTCCTGGGTGATGAGAACCCTTGAGACGCCACTGCAACCTACCTCCTTGAAATCTTAGTTCGAAAGAAAGAAATGGTGTCTTGGGACTTTAAAATAGCTAAGAAAGCCACGCCACTAGGAGGACATTGTAAGCTTTCGATTTGTTATTCACATCACATATAGAAGCAAGTGTATATAAGAAAGTGTTTACAAAATTGGAAAGAGGTTGGCAGGATGCCACTGTGCTTGAATTATTACATGAACAATATCTTGGCAAATTGAAAACATAAGAGGCTCTTATTTTATAATCTAGTGTGTAAATATCGGTAATTTAAGTTCCTAATTCATACGAAACACATTTTGAATGAGAGTCAACAAATGAGATGACCGAGCAAGTGTTAATTATTAAATTTTATTGCCCTTTGAACCATATCTATCTACTACTCGTGCCATTATAAATTGTAAATCACTTAAGAAACATGCAGCTCATGTTACGCTATAGAATTATCTTATCCACAAGCTACTCCAAACTGCTCGCAGGCATGCCTCACGAAATATTTTTTTTTATTATAATATTATTATTGTTATTATATATTTTGCCTAACCTTACCTAACCTAAAGAGATCCCTATCTTTACATTTTAGTTATTTCTATAATAATAAATACGGAATAAACATGAAAATATAGAAATATAGAAAAGTAGGGTTAAGTGTCATTGCTAGTCAACAGGAAAAAAAGAAGAGTACTTGGGTACTTTATTTCTTATTTTTCATGTTTATTCCATATTTATTATTATAAAAATAACTAAAATGTAAAGATAGGGATTTTTGGTGCATTATTTAATTAAATGAAAATTATGTAATGAACTACTAACGTGTGTGTGTATGTCTCTCTCTCTCTCTCTCTATCTATATATATATATGGGTGATTTTTAATCTTAACATAGTATACCCTAGCTTCACATTTCATAGCTAACTGAAATGAATAAATTTTGCGAAATATAGCTTCAACAACAAAGAGGCAAAAAAGTGCAGTCGATGCAGTCAAGCATTACTAAATTCCTTTGTTACAAGTTATCTAATTTTTGTTATTATTGTTTTAAACTTTTAATTCACATTTGAAGTGTTCTCCTTCTTACCTTTAATTTCTTGATTGCGAGAAAGAAAAATTAACAATTTTATTAATTTCTGTTACAACTTCTTGCAAGAATTATCTTTTTCTTTTACATGAATTTGATTCCTTCCCTCTGGCTACTGCATCCTTACATCGTGAGGATGTAAAGTAACTCTTCTCACTATTCATTTCAAAAATTAAACTAGTAGATGAAATTGTTTGAAACTTGACAGGAACTTTCCTAAAAGCATGTAGTTTCAGAAAAATAAATATTTAATTGAATTTTTTCCATTTATTCATTAATTATTGTAGTTATTTGCACCCCGACTCTTAGTAATTCAAGAATAAGGTGATTTTCATGTTAAGTATAAAAATTTTTTTTTTTTCTTATAGTTTTGAAATTTCATTTGCATACCCCTAGAATCTCTTAAATGAATCAAAAGTTTTTAAGTTAAATGCTTATATTTTATTTTTCATTTTCCCTATCATATCACTAATTCTAGCTATTATCATTAACATACAGTGTAATAAAATGTTTATAATTAAGAAATATAAATATGTACATATCTTTTAACTCTTCACTTAATAATTGTAAAGTATCTTCTTTTGATTGTATTTGTAATTTCATATGTTTATCTTTTCCCTTACAGTTTATTTTTAATGTTTTATTTTCCTCTCCTGTTCTTTAGTATTTGTTATTCATCTTGACACATGTCAACATGTGCCCTAGGAGCATATTATGCTATTTTTGGCAGAGATATGCAAGTCTTTGGCAAAATATTTTTGCTCTTGCTTAGTACGTTAACTCTTACAAATTGAGATGAAGTTTTGGTTGTTAAAAATAATTATAAATCTTTCAAATATAAATTTTAAAACATAAAGAATACATAATTAACTCTCTAAACATGGGCTCGGTCAATTTGATCGACCATGTGACTTCTTTGTACTTGTTCGAAGTCTTTATAGATTTGATACTAATAACTTTTAATATAGTGTGTATATCTTCATGAAATTTGGAACTTTCAGTAAACAGTCTTTCACATACAAAAAAAATTCATATTTTTTAGTGAAGTATTTTTAATAAACTACAAAAAGAATCGATCTTGAATATATCAAGTATTTATTTTGAATAGTCTGTGTGCAAAGTGATTTTCATGTTAGGATTAAG